TCTTACCACATATCCATATCACATTAGCTCGGATAATTTCCTCAACACCCTATATAGCAACATATACCAACTGTATAGCTCCAGTTTCCATGTCATGTCCCTTTGCTTCTCCCTGATGATCCCCAAACCTCGAATCCTAAACCCTAAGCCCGAGATCCTAAACCCAAATCCAAAAGTCTAAAGCCTAAATCCTGGTGCTGTTAAGGGGACTTTCTCTGACCCTACCTTTAAAGTATTCCGGGAGACGGAAAAGGGTCTGAGTCTGAAGAAAAATATCAACAACGCTGGATACAGCAACCCAGAATCCCACTAAACCCTAAACCCTAAACCCTAAACCCTAAACCCAGAGGATCTCAGCATCTCTACGGTCTGACCTGAATGAGCTCAAAATCTCGATGAGGGACGGGCACACGCTGCAGAGGCTCGGGTTGTACGGTTTAGGTTGTAGGGGTTTAGGGTTTTGGGTTTAAAGGTTTAGGTTTAGGGTTTAGGGGTTTGGTTTAGGGTTCGGGGCCTGTAGTGGGAAGGAAATGTGGGTAAAGCTTCATCAAGTGTGGGGGCTTATCGTCTAGAGTTTAGTGTTTAGGGCTTAGATCAGACTTAACGACCCAGGCATTGAAGCTCTGCAGGGATTAGGGTTGAGTGATTTAGGGTTGGGGGTTTAGGATTTAGGGCTTCAGGGTTGAGGATTAGGGTCTAGGGAAACCTTTACCCTAGACGCCGGATGATGTCTCAGCTTCCTTTGCAGAAAGTGCCAAGTTCACCCGGAGGAGGCCATAGTGTTGGTAAGGGTTTAGGATTTTTGCGGCTTTTTGTCAAAGGTGTGGGATATGCCAGGCTTCTATGTGGGATCCCTTAACCTTAACCCTATAAACCCTAAACCCTTAACTGTGAGTATTTTTAAGGTGCGCACGATCGTTCCGAGCAGTGAGAAAGATTAAATCCTCCTTGTGAGTGTCGCTTTTGCCAAGAAGAATGTGATCTGAATAGGCTCAACCACCAAGAGCATCCAGAATTCTCAGCCAAACCCTTCAAATCCCCTAAACCCTACATGCCATAAACACCCTAAACCCTGAACCCTAAACCCTATAATTCCCCCATGTAACCCCAAGCGGTACCCCTAATGATGGGAAACCCCCAGTCCCCAAACCCTAAACGCCAAACTCCAAACCCTAAACCCTAAACTCTACACCCTAAACTTTAGAACCAACATCCCTGACATCTCAACAAGGATCCCCAGAGTACCACAGGGACCCCTGGAAGTGACCCTTGATGTACCTCCTTTTGTTTGTTTAGGGTTTAGGGTTTAGGACTAAAGCTCGGAAACCCTAACGCTTAAACTTAAACCCAAACCCTAAAAGGGTGCAGGGTTTGGGGGGTGACTAGGCTAGGAGTTTCGGATCATGGTGGTTGTGGGGGTACTGCGCTTCGCATGGCTTTCCAGGCGAATTTCGGTTCCAGGCTTCGAGTCTTACCTGGCACTTGCTTTGTAGCTTCTTTCAGGAGGTTCTTTTGGCTTCCAGAAGTAATCCTCTCTTCTTATTCGACTCTATGTGCGAGCCTTCAGGTATACCCCGGGCCCCACAATGGATGATCATTGCATAGGTGCCCTTCCAGAACATGTATGGCAGTTTCCCAACATAAGGGGACCCCAATATAGACCCCCAAATAGTATAATCCTTCATAAGAGGACTCCCAAAAAGGTACCCCTAATTTTTGGAAAGCCTAAACCCTAAACCCTAAACCCTGTATGACCCTATAATGTTGGACCCGCTTATGCA